ACTGCTGCATCTCCTATGAACCACCAGTCAGGCTAGGCCCGGGATGAGCTGGGTACAAGTCCTGTCTCATCAAGAGAAGCCCCCGAGTCAGGTACGCTGGTCACGCTTATAATCCCAGCGGCTCAGAAGGCTGAAGCAGGAGGATCATGAGTTCAAAGACAGCCTCAGCAATTTGGTGAGGCCCTAAGCAAGTCAGCAAGACCTTGTCTAAATAAAATATAAAGGGCTGGGGTTCGGGTTCAGTAGTTAAAGACCTCTGGGTTCAATTCCTGGTGCCAAAAAAAGAGAAGAGAAAGAATCCCCCAAACTCAACACTTACCCGAGGGCTGCCCACTAGAAATGCACCAGGCAGAGCAACAAACTCAATCAGAATCTGACACTGACTCATCACTATTTGTAATTGCTTCTCCAAGGAGCCCAGGCTTTTCTGTGAGCTGAGTTTTCTTTGCTTTCCCTGAGTTAAATTCTTACAGATGGAAAAGGCCTGGGCCAAAGCTTCTGCTGCTGTCACAGCAGTCAGGAACCCCCATGAGAAGGAGGAGCCTTTAGGATTAAGGAAATAAGGACCCTGCCAGCTCTCAGTCCTCTGGGGTAAAGAGCCACACCAGAAAATTAGGAGTTAAAAGTGCACCAGTCCTCAAGGCTATGGGTGTGAGATAAACAGCAGGAGACAGGAGGCTGGGAGGGTCAGCTCCTGAGACTATGTGGCCAGCTCAGGCCAGACAGAGCGAGGTCTGCACTATGTGAAAGTCAGAGATTTTCCCAGGTGACAGAGTAAATTCCTAGTGGTGAAGGGGAATGACTGGGCAGAATGGTCACTGAAATCACCCACAGTTACACGTCCCTTATTATCACAGCAAAACACACACCTTCAGGTTGAGGTTTAAGATGGTAATAAGACATGTGACACGTGAAGAAACATGATGGAGAACACAGGTACAACTGAGGCCCCACCTCTCTCTCCATGGGTGACATCAAGAGGCCAGGTTCCTGCCTACACATAGATGCCATCAAAGCTATTCCTCCGGGTACTTTTCTGGACTCAGCCTGGGATTTCTGTTCCCTGTTTGCTGCCTCTTCTCGCTCTAACAGAAGCCCTTAATGAAAACCTTGTCTGTGCTTAAATTCTTTGCAGGTCCATTGACAGTTTCTACAATCTGGATCTTGGAACCCGAGTTCTATAGCATAATAAGACTCATTGAAACATTAGCTGAGTGTCCCTCCACCTCTCTGGATAGCTGACCTCTCAGTCCACATCTAGAAAGGGCTTCGTTTTACAAAAAGAATCCATAAGACGTGTGGACTCATGAAGAATAAGAAGGAAAAAGAAAGAAGAGTTGGAAAGGGGGGAAGGAGCCGATTCTTCATGACCCTAGTCCTCCTCATCCTGGATTACTTCAGACAGAGTAACCTCTCCGTTCTCTTCCAGCCTCCTCATTCACAGCCACTTCTCCCAGAGCGCTTTATAATTCCCTCCAATCTGTCATGCCCTCACTCCCACTGAATCTGCTCTCCCACGTCGCAGACATCAGGAGAGCCTCGCTTCTTTCCTCCCTCTGGATGCTCTCCCCCCTCAGCTGGGGAAGGAGGATTGGCCGCCTCAACTCTTGTCAGCCCCGCAGTTTCCCTGCACTCCCCTGGACCGCGTCGCTGGCCCAAACAAGGTGACCGTCAACTCAAGGAAGATAAAAGTGAAACAAGAAAGGGAATGTAACAGTACTGTGTGGCATGACCGAGAACAAAATTTACATAATGGCGCAAATACACTGAAAGTCGATTTAACCAAAAACTCTGAAACTGAAGGGGGAGGCTGTTACTCCCCTACTTCAGCCAAAGGAGATTCGGATTCCCCTGGAGTGTACACCCTGCAGGGAAAACCTGCCAGCCTGCTGACAGCCAGGTGCTGGGTAGCTCTTGAGCCGGGACCCAGGTCCACTTGCTGGCTCCTTGTGGGAAGACAGCCCTTTCTCCTGAGGCCACCATCAGCTCCAGCATCTAAGGAGCCCAGCTTCTTCCCCTGGCCTCCAAGTCCTCTTCAGCCCATCCACTTTTTTTTTTTTTAAACTAGAGATTGAACTCAGAAAGAAAGAGTGACTTTCTTTCTTTCTTTCTTTCTTTCTTTTTTTTTTTTTTTTTGTTTGTTTGTTTGTTTGTTTTTGGTGCTGGGGATTGAACCCGGGGCCTTGTGCGTGCAGGGCAGGCCCTCTACCAACTGAGCTATGCCCCAGCCCCCACTCCATCCCCCCTTTCTAAGATGCTTCTTTTCTCTCCTGTGTCCCCCTCAAGCCCAAATCAAGGACCAAACAAAGAGGCAAGAAAGGGACAAGGGATACCCAGAACCAGGGGAGGCTGGGGCAAGGCCAAGACCCAGGGGCCATCTCCAGCCAACTGCTGCAGAAGACACACGGCGGCCAGATCTTTCCACTTGTCTGGAGAGAGCCTTGACCTTCTGCTTGGTATGAAACTGCCTGTTTTTCAAATGTAAGCAACTGATTAAAATATCTTTGCTGAGACCCAGAGCCTGAATCAGCCGAAACAACAACAACAACAAAAAAAAAACTGGTTCCTCCAGTCCTTGAGGAACTCAAACCTTTGTAGCAGATAAAGGAAAATATTCATATTCAGCCAAATACAGAGGAGGGGGCCACACTAAAATCCAGCACTTGCTCCATCATCCACCAGCCATTTACTGTGCATTTACCGAAAGAAGGTACAAAAGAAGAGACCATTGCAAATATGTATCTTTTGTGGCTCAGAAGCATCTCTCAAGGACTTGAGAGCCACTCTCAGGAATGCAGCCATCCAAAGAATAAGACCTCAGTCTCTAAGACTCTGAGAACACAGACTCCTAACCTTGATAACGAGCAGCCAAGGAGCGCAGCTGGCCTAGCCTCCTTTACAGGACAACACTTCCTACTGTCTGACTTCTCTCCCTGAGCCCAGCCCCCCTCGGCTGGCTGGAGGTCACAGAGCTGAGCCATGCTGCTAGTCTCCCACTAGCTTTGCCCTAGACACTACCTCTGAAGGGTGAGATCTGGTGATGATAATGGTTGCCCAGGCTCCTCTTCAGGGACTTGAAGGCCATTTTTGTCCAAAGCACCGACTCTTCACTTGGGCCTGTCTGAGGAGTGATCTTCTGACCTCAGGAGGCAGACAACCCCCTCTCCGACCATGCTGACACCACCATTCTCTGAAGGTGCATTTCATGAAGAACGAGGAACAGGCCACCGATGACTGCAATCACCTCCCGATGCCTTAGGTCACGCTGCTTCTTGATCACATCAGTTCCCCCAAACGCCAGCCTCTGGGAGTTGGATTGAGACTTGGATCTCCCCCTCCCAGCTCAGCTCCCTTGCCAATAAAACTCTTTCTCTTTGCAAAACTGAGTTGTCTCGGTGATTGGCAAACTAGGCGTAGCAGGCAGCATGGGCCTGGTTCACTAACAAGACAAATCCTTTAACTTTCCACACTGAGTCGGTGTGATCTTTGAGAGGCTGCCAAAATATCGTAATAATTCTATCATCATCATATCAGCAGCATCAGCAGCATTCTGTTAACTGGAAATCCTCAGCTCCTACTTTCTCATGAGAGATTTCAAGCACGACATGAACTGTAACAAAAGGACAGCGAACTTTATTGGATAAGAGAAGAATATGGTCTCATAAAAGGGTCAACAGTTCATTTCTTTCTTTTCTTTTTCGGTACCGGGGATTGAACCCAGGGGTGCCTAACCACTGAGTCACATTTCTAGCCCTTTTGTTCATGTTTCATCTTAGGACACGGTGTCCGTAAGTCCTTAGGGCCTGGCTAAACTGCTGACTCACTGGGATCACAGGTATACGCCACTGTGCGTGGCTCAACAATACCTTTCTTTATTTCCTAGTTTTCTGGGAGCTAAGGGAAACTTCTTTTGGAGGACTTTGTCCAAGCACCACCTCCTAGCTCTAGATGGACAGTTGGAGTGCGTCAGACTTCTAAATCCCACTCCTCACATTTTCACCTAAAAGTACACAAGAGAAACCCACGGTGGCTGGGGTAAATGTGCAGTTACCATAAGATCGAAACGACACGCTGAGGGCCTAAAGGCAACTTTTGATCTTGGCCCATGCCAACTGTTTTTAAACTGGAAACTGTTCTTATAGATTTTATGGCTATTGGACTCTGGTCAGTGTCTGATCAGGGCATCGGTCTTTCTTCTTTTGGTTCCAGGGATGAACCCAGGGGCACTCAACCACTGAGTCATATCCCCAGCCCTTTGAGACAGGACTTTGCTAAATGGCTCAGGCCAGTCCTCCTGCCCATTCCTATTCCCTGTGATCCTCCTGCCTCAGCCTCCCACGCCGCGGGGATCACAGGAGTGGGCCACTGGCCAGGATGTCTTCTTCTTCTTATCTGGAGACGTTACTCCTCAGCCCTGCGAATACCGTGCTGTTTGGCACATGCTTTCCCTGCCTTGTCCCTTGTGGCTCACATCTACCCAACAGTTCCACCTCTGCACAGTTCTGATCTTTAGAACCCACTTGACTTCAGAAAATTAAAAACTGGGGCTTTTAATCGAAAACTGACCTAAAACTGTTTCTTCGGTTGCCACAGGAAAATGCTCACGACTTTGCAGACACGGGCTGAGCTCTTCTCTCTCTTCTCACACAAAGCTTCCAGATTTTTCTCTAAAAAGCCACCACTGGGCTGGGGCTGTGGCTCAGAGGTAGAGCGTTCGCCTGGCACGACGTGTGAGGCACTGGGTTTGATCCTCAGCCCCACATAATAAAATGAAGACATTGGGTCCACCTGAAAAACTAAAAATTAAAAAATAAGCCACCGCTCCCTGCCACCTCACGCCCAACACTGTGTTCCCCCCCTCCCTGGGGTTCCCAAAGTACGGGCGTTCTCTTGATAAACTGCTTCCTTCCAAATTATTTTCTGTCCCCTCAAGTCCCTCCCTCATATAGACATACTCCCAGCTCCTGACCTCTGCCAGGGACTAGCAAGTGGACACTTCCCGGTCACGCCTTGTCTGGACTATAAGAAGGGAATGTCTGCGGGCTATGATTTGGTTTTGAGTCCCCCCATCATTCCAGGTCATTCAGTCTTTTGTGGGACACATGCTACAAACACTCCGTAAAGGGACAGGCCTCCCTCATCTGCCTGGAGATTTTCTTAGATTTTTTTCCTCTACAAACGCAGGGCAGCTCCCCAAGGCTCCCTGTACTGCAGACTGCTGGCTTAGGTACCTCTTACTCCTTTAACAGTTTTTCCTTTTGATCTCGGGCCAGTCCTCCTGCCCATTCATGCTCGTCCCCTCCCCAAGCGCTGGGCGGGACTCGGAGACCAGCTGGAGGCCCTGAACCTCTGCACGTTGCTGCAACAGCCCAGCCCAGCCTGGCCCACTCATTTTTTCTTCCTGCAGTAGACGCTCCCGCTGAAAGAAGGAGAAGCCGTGGGGGTGGCCCAAGTGTGCAGCCCAGACGCAACAGGCCAGGGCCCACTTCCCTTGCTGCCCACTCAAAGTCCGCCACACGCCTGGTCGGGCTCAGCCATGATGAGGAGAAGCTTCCAGGTGGCAGCTAGACTGGGACACCGGTGTATCCTGCCCAGACTCGACCCTGCCGCAGCATTTGGATCCTCCACTGACTCCCTGGTGAGTCCCAGCTCAGCTACACAGTGTCCTTCCTCCCCAGAGCCCCGGGCTGAAGGAACACACCCAGTCTCCCTTTTCCGGCTTGCAGTCGGGGTGATGGGCAGTGTGGGGGGAGCTTTTTGTTCTGGCAACAGGAAGATGTTTGGGGATGCCCTGTAGCCCATATCCCAAGCTGAACCCACCAGGACGCTTGCACCTGGTCTGAACCTTGTGTGGTCACCAGCTGGTCGGTGTTCTTCCGTGGGGCTCAGACGGTTGCAGCTAAGTTGGGGCGTCCCCAGACAGGGGGCCCGGACGGAGGTCTTGGCAAGAAACTGCCCATATTTGTAATTGGCACATGAGCCAGCGACATTATAGAGGACACCCCCTGTCCCCCAGATCGACATACTGTCCCTGCCCCAGCCACGGTACCACACGTCTTTGGGTTCCAGTACGTGTTTCAAAGGAGCCGTTCTGCCTAGGCCCACCCAGGACTGTGGGCAGAGCTGGAGCAGCGCCGGAGGGAAAGGGGTATAAAAGTGTCCCCTCGCCAACAGCGTCTCACTCCCCAGGGAAGACGGTGCATGTCAGCTCTTGCTCTCATAAGCAACCCGAATCATATTTTCTCGGCTTCCCCATTAATACAGTGGGGCAAATACTAGCAGTTCTCAGCTGCAAAGAACTACTCGTAGCTTCTAGAAAAAGTGTAATGTATTGACATTGAGCCCAGGGCTGTCATTTTTATTTTTATTTTATCTATTCATTTGTTTTCTATTTACTTATTTATGTATTTTGGTGCCAGGAATTGAACCCAGGGATGCTTTACAACTGAGCCACATCCTCAGCCCTTTTTATTTTGAGACAGAGACTCATTAAGTTGCTTTGAGCTTCACTAAGTTGCTGAGGCTGGCCTTGAACCTGAGATCCTTCTGCCTCAACCTCCCAAATCGCTGGGATTGGGGATGGGGGTGTAGCTCAGTGGCAGAGCACTTGCCTGGCATGTGCAAGGTCCTGGGTTCAAAAACAGAAACCAACAAAAATGACCAAGTTGCTGGGATTGTGGGTGTCTGCCACTGCGCCCATTCCTTTCCCTCCCTTGTTTTCCTCTGTGGTGTCCCTTGCCCAGTGACTCATTGAAGGGCCCAATCCTCTGCCAGGAAGGTGGGCCCTTGTCCACACTCCAGCTTGAAAAGCCCCCAGACCGGGATGAGACTTCCTGGAGGCCACCCTCCAGGACATCATCTCCTTCTCTGATTGGTCCTGCCCAGGTCTCAAGGTTCTGTCCAGTGAAGACAGACTTGAAGGACTATGCCCTCCCCAACGCCAGCTGGTGTCCAGACATGCTGAGCCTGTACCAGGAATTTCTGGAGAAGACCAAGTCTGACGGCTGGGTCAAGCTGCCCTCCTTCCAGTCCAACAGAGACCACATTCAAGGGCTCAAGCTCCCATCTGGGTTGGTAGCTGCCTCAGGTAAGGCCAGGCCTGGGAGGGTCCGTGAGCGCACCCCCACCCCGACCCACGTCGACGAGCCCTGCCTGGGACCCTCGGTGAGGACCATCCAGCTCCCTTGCCCTGGGTACCAAGACTCCCTTCCACCTGCTGTCTAACCACACCCTCTGCTGCAGCCTAGCAGACAGATGAGAAGGGATTCCTTCAGGTCTTGGGCTCCCTCCCTCCCATCTGCAGAGAACAGTCTCCTGTGGGGTCCTCACGGGAGAACTGCCAGCTCTGCGCTCGTCCTTCCCCCTTCTCCCTGGTGCTCTTCCCTCACAGTCGAGCTTATCCCAAGCCCTCCTCCCCAAACCCAGAAAGTCCAGTGGACCCCACCTCCGCATCTGCAGGCCTCAGTGCACCATCGCCACCAGCGAGCCAGCTCTGATCCGTGGAGTGCCACCTTCACCCTTCCTTATGCGTGTCTGTCTGTCTGTTTTTCTTATGCGTCTCATTTGTATGCACGGTCCCTGCCCAGTGAGCGACACAGCTGGCAGATGGCTCTTGGGCTTATGGCAGGAAGCAGGGGCTGTGGGCAGTGCCGTAGCTCCGGGGTCGGGCTCTTGCCTAGCATGCTGGGTTCAACCCCCACACCACAAAAACCAATAAAAAAAAGCAGGGGCACTAAAATAATGTCTTTTCAAGAACTTGATATTTCCAAGAAAGGAGGTAGTTGTTGTCTTGGGAGGAGGATGCGAACTTTGGTGGACTTTTTTGTACTTATTTTACTGTTTAGTATAGCTATGCTTTTTAAAAAAATTTTTTTAGTATGGTTATTTTTAATGAATTATAGGTGAATTATGGGCTGGGGATGTGGCTCAAGCGGTAGTGCGCTCGCCTGCAATGCGTGCGGCCCGGGTTCGACCCTCAGCACCACATACCAAGAAAGATGTTGTGTCCGCCGAGAACTAAAAAATAAATATTAAAATTCTCTCTCTCTCTCTCTCTCAAACCTTTAAAAAAAAATAGGTGAATTATATGAGTAATCACATCGTAAACTTCCAACACTTAGTCTTTTCAAGTCTTGACCTGAAAAGCCCCAGCTCCTGTCTTTCCACTCAGCCAGGAGACTCCTTGAGCGCTTTCCCTGCCAGACACAGGCTTTCTGAAGACGGGGATTATCTCTGCTCCAGGCTGAAGACTCCCTGGGGGCAGAGCCTGGGTCTCCTCTGCTTCTCTGTCCTCCTTTATTAATTTTCAGCTCTGGGGATTGAATCCAGGGGCTCTTTTCCTCCGAGCTACATCTCCAGCCCTTTTCACTTTATAGTTTGAGACAGGGTCTCGCCGAGTTGCCCAGGTCAGCCTTGGACTTGCCCTTGTGCCTCAGCCCCTGGAGCAGACAGGATGACAGATGTGCAGCACCGCCCCCAGCAAGGTTCTCTGTCCTTGACCCTGTACCAGAGGCATGGCTCAACCCAGGGTCCTACATCCTGACCGGCAGGCCCCACGCCCCGAGACCCTCACAGGCCCTTCATTTTCCAGCTGTGACATTGCCCATCTCTCCCCAGACAAGAGTGACTGGCGCATCTTCACCAGGTGCATCCAAGTCGAAGGACAAGGCTACGAGTATGTCATCTTCTTCCACCCATTCAAGAAGAAGTCGGTCTGTCTTTTCCAACCAGGCCCCTACCTGGAGGGGCCTCCCGGGTAAGGCCACAGGGAGGGCCAGGTTGGGAGCCGCCTCCTGGGCTCATCAGGTACATCTAGTAGGCCCTGGGATCTACACCTCTCTGTAGGGAGCTGGGGTGGCATCCTCCGAGGCCAGGAAGGACATGCTTGGCTATCTGGTCCAGTCCCCATCCTCAAGGTAAGGGAGAGCCCCCTTATCAAGTTCTCAGAATTTTCCGGCAAGAAAAGACCTGACAGGCCACTTGGAGAGGACATGCTGCACTTGGAGGAGGGCAAGATCTGGAATCAGTAGCCTGACTTCTGGTCCCGATCTACTGCAGCAAGTAAGCAATCTGACCTCTGGGGTCTTAGTCTTACCCAAAACCCAAGACAATAACATCTACCTGCCAGTGTGACTAAGAGACAGGATGCCCGGGCCTCTGTGTGTGCTCATAAAGCATAATGCAGCTATCAGACATCGCTTATTGAACCCCATGTCTGGTACATGGGAAAACTGAGGCACGCAGAGGTAAAGGAACTTGCCCGTGGTGGCACAGCAAAGTTAGATCCAGGACTCTAATCCAAGAGTTGGGACTCCAGCTCTCTCCGCTGTACCTTGCTGCCTCCAAACTTGTAATAGGCCCAGGGAGAAATTCACCTGGACAAGGATCAGGCTGGCCCTGGGCCTCACGTTTGTGGTTGTCTGCCTTCTGCATCCCTAATCCTGCTCCAGGCAACCAACAAAGGCAGTTGGTGGTGCTGGAATTCCTGCAGAGAGACAGGAGTGGGTAGGGTCTGCTTTAAGGTTCTGAGGCCTCAGGTGGGATCTTAGGGCAGGATTCACAGCGCTAAATAGGTATCAGCACCTCTTCAGGCCATGGATACAGACACAGCCCTTGGTCCCCGTGGCCAAACCAAAGGTATGGATACCTCCATGGGGACACTGTTCTCCAAACTAATGCATGCAGACTCTGGGGAATGGTTTAGAATCCTACCTGGGACATGGATCCCCTCCCTTCTGAAGAAGAAAATCCTCAGGAGGCAGGAGAGAGGTTGATACATGGCTGACTTTTATTTAGGGGCTGGTGGAGGTGACAAAGGGACAGAGGAGGCCAGCCAACACCTGAGGCCAGTCAGTGGATTGAGGGGAGTGCAGGGAGGAGATTGGTGTCCACCAGGTCCCTGGCCAACAGAAGTGGGCGGCAGTTATCATTGGCCAAGAGCTGCTCCACAGAACCAGTACTAGCCAAGGGGTCCTTCCTCTGGTCAGTGAGGACCAGGAGAGAAGAGCGGATCTGGAGTTCTCTGACACCAAGTCTTCTTGCCCCTGTTAAGCAATTCGTAAGGTGGAGAGGGGGTCCCTGGAAGTGTGCATGAGGTTTTGCAGACATTTACTCATTTAATCCAATGAAATAGAAATTATTTTCATTCAGAATTCATAGTGGGTACACTAAGGTGCAGAGATCAAACAGGTAACAAAGCCAGGTGAGAGGTGCACGCCTGTAGTATCAGTGGGTACTGAGGTGGGAGGATTATAAGTTCAAGGCCAGCCACAGCAACTTAGCAAGGCCCTAAGAAACTTAACTGGACCCTGTCTAAAAATAAAAAATGAAATAAAATAAAGGGCTGGGAATGTGGCTCAGTGGAATTTAAAAAAAAAAAACGTGTTGGAGCAAGAAGCCCACCAGGTGGTATGATGCCATGGCCCTGGCAGAGGGAGGGGAATCAAGGGCCTTGGAAGCCAAGGTGGTAGGAGCAGGAGAGTGACCATGGTCACACAATGTGGACAGCTGGTCTGGGTCCATGGAGAACGGCAACTGAGCTTTCAAAAATCAGGAACTCAAATCTGTCTTGTGTTTTTGCATTCTAACGTTAGATGCCTCTCATTTTACCCAGTTTGATTGACCAAAAATGCAGTAACTTAGGGATGGAGATCAGCTTGCACAAAGGAGAAAGAACTTTACACACTTGAAATCAGTGAATGTTTACGACACCCTCTGAAGCGGCTCTCCCTTTTCCATGGGCAGCACTGCTCAGAAGTTCATCTTGCTGGCACTTGCTGGCACTTTATAAGTCATAAGTCACAGCGGCACATGCCTGTAATCTCAGCAACTTGAGAGGCTGAGGCAGGGGATCACAAGTTCCAGGCCAGCCTCAGGAATTTGGGGCGACCTTGTCTCAAAATAAAAAATAAAATGGGCTTGGGATGTAGGACCCCTCGGTTTGTATGAAGACAGAGACACAGAGACACGGGAGGAGGAGTAGAAAAGGAAGAGGAGGAGGAGGAGGAGGAAGGGAAGGAAGGAAGAGAGAGCGCGCACCCAGCCTGTGATGACGGTAAGGCTAGACATGGCCCGAGACCATGCTTCAAAGACTAAGTCAAAAACTAAAAGTTTAGGGGTTTTCCTGTTCCTCGTTCCTCGTATGTGTGTACCCTTCCAAATTATGGCAATTGCTGCCAGCAGTTAGGTAATGAATCAGAAAAAAAAATGTTTTCCATTAACTATATGAGAAAAAAAACAGTTTTTTCCTGGTAAATTAAAATAATTGTGAGTGGTTACCAGCATATGCTGAAGCAAAGCAAGAGAAAAACCGTTGATTTTTGCTGATTCGATCACATGGGGTGCAGCTCTGTGTCCTCTCCTAGGTGGCTGCCTTGGGGGCCCTGGGACAGGGAGACACATCAGGGGGTGTTCATGTAGGGTGGGGGGAGGCCCGTGGGGCAGTCTGCCCAGCAGCTCAGCCCTAGCCTTGCTCCCACACCCTCCCCAGGTTTGCTCACGGAGGGTCCCTGGCAGCCATGATGGATGAGACCTTTTCTAAAACTGCCTACCTGGCTGGAGAGGGGCTGTTCACACTAAATCTCAACATCAGGTTCAAAAAGTAAGTATGAGGGGCTGGGGTTGGGGCTCAGCAGTAGAGCGCTGCCTCACACATGAGAGGCCCTGTGTTCAATTCTCAGCACCACATAAAAATGAATAAACAAAGATTTTTAAAAAAACATAGTAATGATGTTTGGATGCTAATATAAACAAACAAACAAAAAAAAAGAGTAAAAGTAAGTATGAATCCCTGGGGCATGAGCTGAAGTCGCGGCCCTTTTTGTCTCTGGGGTAGCTCTCCCTGGCTACTAGGGTGTGGGAGCCCTGCCAGCCGCGTCCTTCCCCAACCCACTCTCCAGCATTCCTCTGCCTCTGGCCACACTGCAGTCTTGAGCCCAGAGCTACTTATGAGCCCTTGAGGAAGGATGGGGTGAAGAGAAGGGGATAAAAAGGGTGATGAGCCGGGGGCAGTGGCACACGACTGTAATCCCCGTGGCTCAGGAGGCTGAGACAGGAGGATCACAAGTTCAAAGCCAGCCTCAGCAATGGCAAGGTACTAAGCAATTCAGTGAGAACTGTCTCTAAATAAAATACAAAATCGGGCTGGGGATGGGACTCAGTGGTCGAGTGCCCCCGAGTTCAATCTCCAGTACCAAAAAAAAAAAAAAAGAGGGGGTGATGAGATGGGTGTGAGCTCCATTGCCTCTTCTCCCAGCTTGATCCCTGTGGGCTCTCTGGCGGTACTGAATGTCCAAGTGGAAAAGATTGAAGACCAGAAGCTTTATATGTCCTGCATCGCCCAGAGCAGAGACCAAGAGACGGTCTACGCCAAGTCTTCAGGTAAAGAAGACCTCAGCCTCAGCCTGTCTCCAGCCTGCCCCCCCACCCCCACCCACACACAACCCGGAGCAAATGGGAGGCAGGAAGAATGCTAAAGGCCCTGCCCAGGCTGGGATCTGACTTTCTGGGGGAAGGAACTGCTAGGGATGTGGATGAAGGGAGGGACCCCAGTTCAGATGTTCCCCAACCTGAACGGCAGGACTGGTCCCGCTCATTCGTAACCTGTACAAAAGGCTCAGAGCAGCTCAGTGAAGCCCCCGCTGCCCCGCGCTCCGCTGTAGCCCCCCTTTCTCTTGCAGGTGTTTTCCTTCAGTGGCAGCTGGAAGAAGAATCATCCCCTTAGTGGTCACTATGCTGACCCTGAGGACCCTGCCTGCTGGGGGCCCTCATCAGAGCAGAAAGGTCCCCAGGAGATGAGGAGAGGGCACCTTCTCTGAGTAAATAAACTCTCACTGCCCCAAGCTCGGCCTAAGACCCTTCTTACAGAAATAAACGTCCTTCCAGGGCCTCCTTGTACCCACCCTCCCACTCGGCAGCACGAGGAGACCTTACAGAGCACCCACCAGGTGCCAGGCACTGGGAGAGGCACCCGGTACAAGACGTACCCTGAAAGCCAGGATCCTGGCCCCAATGTGCACACCGGAGGGGCACTGAGCGCCCCACCAAGCTCCCCCTTCCCTGTTCTGGCTACGCCAGGAAAGCAGTGTAAACCCAAAGGGAAGTGGCTCCATCTTGCTCTCTGAGCGTGTTTAGTCAGTTTCTTCACCATGTGACCAAAAGACCCAACTCAAGGTTGCAGAGGTCTCAGTCCAGTCAGCCAACTCCATTGCCCCGGGCCGAGGTCCGGCAGAACACCTGGTGGAAAGCGTAAAAGACGAAAGCCCCTCAGGATATCATGCCAGGGGTGGGGCTCTGCTCACCAGGGACAAAACATGTACCCCAAAGGCCTGCCCACGGTGACCTGTCTCCTGAGCCACACCCCACATGCCTCCTACAGTTACCATCTGGTTAACCCACGCAGGGGATTGATGTGCTCAGTAGATTAAGGCTCTCGGGACCCCAACACTTCACCTCTAAATTTTACTGCATTATCTCACATGAGCTTTTGGGGGGACACCTCATATCCAAACCAAAACAGAACCCAGGCAGAAAAGGCTTTGTAAAGGAAGCCGGGCCTATACCAGGCGGAGACAAGGGGAAGAACTTCCAGGCAGAGAGAACCGTCGGGACAAAGGCACAGTGGCATTAAAGGACACAGGGACTTTGGAGAGTTGCCAGGAGTTCAGTAAGGCGAGAGTCCAAGGAAGAGAAAGGGCAGGGCAGGAGCGGGCCGTGGGAGGCTTCAGGGTCCCTGCTATGGAGCCTGAACTTCATCTTGTGGCCCAAGGAAGCCTCAAAGGGTTTGGGCTGGGAAGCAACATGAAGTTCTGCTTTTGATAAAGAGGACTCTGGTGGCAGGAAGGGATTAGCAAGACTGAAGGCCAGAGCACTGGTTAGGAGGCCCTGCAGGGCTCTGCTGGGGACAGTAAGGGCTGCCGGGGTTAGAACCACAGAGATGAGAACAGTGACGCGTGTAAGAAGTGCAGGGCTTTCCCACTGACTCCAGGTGGCAGGTCGGTGAAGAGAGCTGTCTAGGATGACTTCAAGTCTCCGACTCCGGGCAGGGGCTCCAGGTGGCATCCTGGAACACAGAAAGAGCAGGTTTGAAGGAGAGGCCAAGAGTGAGCTTGGTTTGATGGGCATCGAGTTTAAAGTACCCGTGGACCCTCCGCCAGGTCGGAAGTGCCAGCAGGATTCTGGATATTGTGACCTGGGAGCTCCGGAGATGAGCCACGGATTCAATCTATGAGTCAACATAAAAACTGTCATTGGAACCCTGGGGAATGGCTTATGCAGAGTGACATTGGAGGGCGGTGAGGGGGGGACAGACATGGAAGACAGGGAGCAAAGACAGAGCCTCAGGCCAGGCTAAGGTTTAAAGTTGGGACACAAGATCAAGGACCCACCAAGAAGCGTGAGAACAGAATAGCAGTGACCGTCCCTAAGAAGGGACAGTCAAGTGCTGAAGGCGAGAAATGAGCTCTCCAATGTGGTCTTCAGATGAATCAGTAAAGGGGTCATTCCTTTTATTGTCTGGCTAGAATTCAAAGGAAGACATTTCAGTGGTTTTCTTGTCTTCCTAAAATTGTGATATCTTCTTCCCCTGAAAAACAGATGCCTCCAGAAATACAATGTTATTCTTAAAACAAAGAACAAAATTTAAAAAAAAAAATCCTGGTGGGTTTTGGAATTTTGTTACCACTCATTTGTTGAACATAATGAATCAAACCTGGTTCTTGTCTCATCTTCTAAAAATCTTTTATTTTTTTCTCCTAATGTTAAAATAATCCAGGAAATTTGGAAAGCTCTCTATTGATGTATTTTCCATTAATTTTATGTAAACACATTGGTTTTTTTAATATATTTATGTTTCAGTTAAAATAAACAGGTAAAAAAAAAATGAAATAAATAAAACGAGGCCTTCAGATTTGGCAATAAAGATGGAGGTCGGAGCAAAATCCACAGGATAGTGGGTGGAAAAATGAATGGGGAATGAGAACATTTTTCTTTCCGGGAATTTTGTGGTTATTCACGGAAAGAGATTTGATTGTATCCATAATTTGCTTTGGAAGTCGCTAGTAGAGAGAGACTGGAACTTCTAAGGGAGGGAGAGGTGCCATCTCGTCTTGGACAGGGATGGAGAGAGCACGGGTGGAGATGGGAGTCGCAGGAGAAGAGCTTCCCATGACAGTGGGAACAAAAGACAGGAGGTGGGGACACAGACAAGGATGGGGACTGAAGGGGTTCACGCCAGAGCACCTCAGCTTTCTCAGTGAAGTAAGATGAAGAAGAAGGATTTGGAAACGCCCCGGGGGATCAGGAAAACAAGTTGGTCAAGTACACATGTGACCCAGGTGTGCTGAGGGTCTGCTGACGGTAGCAAACAGGTGACAAGAATAACAACACAGACTGGTTAAGAGGAAGGTGGGAACAGCTGGAAAACCCAGGGGCAATAGTGGGCGTGCCAGGTAAGAGCACTGTTGAGGAGGACGGAGCCACGAGGTGGTGCCACTCCTAAGGAGGAAGGCCTGCCGTGGGGAGAGTTAAGGAGTGGAGGAGGCAGTGGCTACCTGCACCCGCCCAGGCCCTGGGGGGCCCAGGCAGAGGACTGCACCAGGTGAGCCCTGTCTGACGACAGCTAGGACTGCACTAAGGCCAGGGGGTGGAGATGTTCAGAAGAGGCCAAGATAAGGAGAGTTCTACAAAGAAGGAGAGCTCCCGGGGCATATCAGGAAGGGTTTTATTATTAGGTCTGGTAAAGCCAAATGCTGAAACAGAGAAGCCCTTAAATCTCCACAACTTAATCCATATCTTTCACAGATGTTTTTTCTCCCAATGGAATCCAGGAGTGCTCTTCCACTGAGCTACATCCCCAGCCCTTTTCATTTATTTATTTTTTCATTTCGAGACAGGGTCTTGCTAAGTTGCCCAGGCTGGCCTTGAACTTGCGATCCTCCTGCCTCAGTCTCCCAATAGAATGTGTTTCTCACTCACATGAGGTCTAGTGGGTAGCATCTAGGATTCATTCAGGCTGACAAAATCTCTGCCATCTTCAAAGTACAAGACTTAGAAAGCCCTATTGGGTGTTGGCATCCAGCTGCCGGATAAATGGAGAGAATCCACTTAGGAGGGGTTGGGGGACCAGGCCCCAAAAGTGGTTCCATTGGCCCTAATGCAGTCACAAGCCCCCATAAAACTGCAAGGAAGTTTGGCTGGAAAACACAGTCTAACTATATGTTGAAGAAGAAAGGGAAATGGATTTAATGAGTGGCTAGCAGCCCTTCCTCGGTTTGAGAGAAGGGACAGTAGAAAAAGGAAGAGCCCGTGTCCAAACTCTTGTCCTGGTAAATGAGGAATCTTGTCTTTAGCCAGAGTTGGAATTCAGGTATTCAGGGCTGGAACTGGGGACTGAGGAGATCAGAGCAAATTAACCCCTTTGTGGCATGGAAAATTGTGTACAAACTCAGCAGCAGTGGTGAGAGAGACAGATCTTTCCAGAAACTAGGACACAGGCTTCTAGGCAATCAATCCCAAATGATGGAGGACAGATAGACATAGATTACAGGGGCCTTGACCCAGGGCCTCCCAGAAGCTGGAAATGTACTGAAGGCCAGGGACAGAAATCTTAGACCAACTCACTGTCCTCTCCTCTGTGTACTCACATAAAAAGCCTCACTCCTTTGTACCTTCACAGTGGCCCTCGGTAATCTATTAAAACCAGAATCCAAATCGTTGTATACTGAAAACCTGGTTGCCTTTATTCATGGTCACGGAGAGCCTAATCCTTTCCTTCAATAGTTCCAGTATAAGAAGGGAAATCTGGCTCATCCTACACAGTCAAAGAGAAGAAAGAATAATACAATAGCTGTGTTTGGGTTCCATATAAATAGGTTGAATGTGTCCTGGCCCCTCTCTGCTGGGGCCAGTTTCTAACAGCAATAGGCACAGGTGGAAATCTGCAGAGTGTCAGCCTCAACCACCCGGCCAGCTGGGTAGCCAGGGTCCTGAAAAGAAATAAGGCCGTCAGCTGCTAGGACACTTCTGTAGTCCAGGGCTTTAACAGGTGGCTATCCTTCCCAGGAGGCCAAGTATCGTAGCCATCTTGCCTCCACATTTACAAACTCATGCCCACGGACAGTGCAGCTCCTGCAGAGGTGGGTGGGGTCGGATCTAGTGGGCCATGCAGGAAAACGTGGCAGCTTATCCTGCTTAAGGCACGTGCTGGAGTCAAGTGCCAAGAGACACCAAAGAGTAAGATGTGTAAGATCAACCAGTTCAAGAAGACAGTGGACATCAGTAGCCCATACCAGCCCAAACCCCTGAGGCCCTCCTGGACCAGAGACCAGACCTAGGTCATTCGTCACAGGTCCTGAGCGGGGAGCCAGAACTGCAATTCACAGTTTGTCACCAACCCTATCACCCACCAGGGCTTGCATTTGTGGGCATTTGTGGCCAAGTCATGCTGCCGGAAGCCACCACTCAAGGTCTCAGGAGATACACCCTAGACCCAGAAGCCCAGGAGCGTGGCAGTCTTGCCTGCCTACCTGGAAGAAAGGCCTGAACGTCTCTGTGTCTTCCATTTCACTTGGACTCTGAAAAGTTCTCTGTGCTGCCCAATCTTCTTTTCCTTCCTCTTCCCCTTCCACTCCTTCCCTTCCCCTCTGGCTCTCCTCCCCCTCTCTACTCTTCCTCCGGCTCTTCCTCCTCCTTCTTCCTCTTCCTCATGTCTCTCTCCATACTAGGGATTAAACCCAGGGTGACTTGACCACTGAGCTACATCCCCAGCCCTTTTTATTTTTATTCTGAGACAGGGTCTCAAAATAATTGCCCAGGCTGGCCTCAAACTTGCAATCCTCCTGCC